CCTGAGAAAACAGGGATTCTGGCCCGATACGGTAAAACGTATGCGCCAGGGCTCTGAAAGGAGGCCGATCCCGTTAGTCCTGTGCGTCTTGAAAAAGACCGCGGACGCCAAACGGATCTTTGACCTNATTCGTCAACGAAAAGTAACACGTTACCTAAAGTCTACAAAAGCACTGGATTTGCCGACAATATGGAAAGAAGCTGAAAAATTTCAGAAGCGTGTAGTAAATATAATTAAAAGTTTCTCCCCTGATTGTGTTATCAACACGGACCAAACAGATTGTGAGTATCGTGTTGATGTGAGAAGAACCTTGGCGACAAAAGGGCAAAAGATGGTGGATGTTTTTCTGGGTGACTTTAATAAAGTCACACACCGTTACACGGCACAGTACGCATTAACTGCATCCGGAAAACTTCTGCCAAAAGTTTTTCTGTGCATGCAAGAGCCAAAAGGGGTGTTTGGTCCACGTGTTTCTGCTAACGTTGAAGAATTGTGTAACAACTACGGAAATATATTTGTTACCGCGTCCAAATCTGGAAAATTAACAAAAGAACATTTCACCAGTTTTGTTAAAAATGTAGTTACACAATACTGTAAGCAGAACAGATTTTTAATAATTCTAGACTCGTGGGGTGGTCAAACAGATACTGCACACTTTAACAGTATATTTACGGATGACGATGGAAATTGCAGTTCAACACTTGAAATTATTCCACCCCACTGCACCCCTTATTGTCAACCGTGTGATGTGTACTTTTTCCGCCAAGTTAAAAATTTCATCAAAAAAATTCAAAATTGTGTTGAAGTATTGGAAAACAACCTCCAGTTGTCTACAAGAGAAGATGCCATAAAAATTCATTCTTTGATTCATCACCAGCTATCCGCTCTGGGAAAGCGGTGATGGAACTTAAAGCTCTGGGGGAACTTACTTATATTCAATATAGATTCACCATAAGAAAATTCATCAAAATTGGTGAAGAGTCAACTGCGATGTCTCCTTGTCAGTGTAGTGTTAGTAGTAGGACGATACCCTGAGCTGTTGCTGCTCTGTTTGTTGTGACGCTTGATTCTTATCAGTATAATTTTCGCATTTTTGTTTCTCCATAATTTTTTTGCTAAGCCGGTGTCAGCTTAACGTAATTTTTATAAAAATGAGTAATTTGAATGCATGTGATGAAGACTTCAAAGTGTTAGATGCGATATACCATACCGATGAAGTTGAAACTTCGTTTCAACGTGTTAGTGCGAATATTTCGGTGGTAACAGAAAATCAAAGTTTCGTTGATAATGATGTTTCAAAAAGCGCTATCGAAATAGAGCAGTCAGTCGAGGACTTGGAAGAAACTATTACTATCGAACGAATGTATGGAAAAGATGCTGAACCGTGCTGTTCCAACAAATGCAATAAAATCATACCAGAAAATCTTGCTGTAACAGACAATTTTTTGAAGAAATGAGCAAAGAAGACCAAGATTTGGTTTATTTAAGCCATTTAGAATTTCATCGACAACNTCGTCAACGAAAAGTAACACGTTACCTAAAGTCTACAAAAGCACTGGATTTGCCGACAATATGGAAAGAAGCTGAAAAATTTCAGAAGCGTGTAGTAAATATAATTAAAAGTTTCTCCCCTGATTGTGTTATCAACACGGACCAAACAGATTGTGAGTATCGTGTTGATGTGAGAAGAACCTTGGCGACAAAAGGGCAAAAGATGGTGGATGTTTTTCTGGGTGACTTTAATAAAGTCACACACCGTTACACGGCACAGTACGCATTAACTGCATCCGGAAAACTTCTGCCAAAAGTTTTTCTGTGCATGCAAGAGCCAAAAGGGGTGTTTGGTCCACGTATTTCTGCTAACGTTGAAGAATGGTGTAACAACTACGGAAATATATGTATTTGTTACCGCGTCCCAATCTGGAAAATTAACAAAAGAACATTTCACCAGTTTTGTTAAAAATGTAGTTACACAATACTGTAAGCAGAACAGATTTTTAATAATTCTAGACTCGTGGGGTGGTCAAACAGATACTGCACACTTTAACAGTATATTTACGGATGACGATGGAAATTGCAGTTCAACACTTGAAATTATTCCACCCCACTGCACCCCTTATTGTCAACCGTGTGACGTGTACTTTTTCCGCCAAGTTAAAAATTTCATCAAAAAAATTCAAAATTGTGTTGAAGTATTGNAGGTAGAATGCCGAATTTTAAAAACATTAAAGTGTTGCTGCTACCGTCGAACGAAACAAAGAATGGCGTCTATCGCCGTTTCGCAGAAATTTGTCTTCCAGAGGATAAAATCGCGCTCAGAACTTTTACTAAAATTTGGTCGAAGTTTTGTCCTTACATCTCGCCCATGAAACCAAAAGATGATCTTTGCGACGTTTGTCAACAGAATTCCTCGATGTTACAACGAGTTTTGAAGGAATCGGATCCGAATACAAAAGAAGAGAAATTACGAATTGCAGTTGCTCATCTTGATCGTGCAAAACGTCAACGCGAATTCTACCAACAGGTCGATGATGTGAAGAAAGATACAATTTCTACTCTTGTAATAAGTTTCGACTATGAGCAGAACGTATTTTATCCTTCAAGCCCCCAACAGGTTGGCTCCGCTTATTTTAAAGCAGGTCGGAAATGTTCGATTTTCGGTATGCATAATGAAATCATGAAAGTTTGAAAAGAAATCAAGATTTCGAAGATGTTGTCGTAAGATCTAGCCATAACAAATTTAATCAAGCTGTAAATGGAAGCAAAATAGAGTGGCGATCGTGGGATACTTATTTTGGAGAATTTTACAAAAGATTACCAGGTAAACTGTCGCAATTTTCTAATAATCATTTTTAATNACAAGGTGTCGAAACGTAAATCGCATGTTTTATCTCCGGAACAAATTACTCGTATCGTTCAATTTATTGAAAATTTCGCAGAAAAATTTGCCATACCACTTCCAGGTAGAATGCCGAATTTTAAAAACATTAAAGTGTTGCTGCTACCGTCGAACGTCTATCGCCGTTTCGCAGAAGTTTGTCTTCCAGAGGATAAAATCGCGCTCAGAACTTTTACTAAAATTTGGTCAAAGTTTTGTCCTTACATCTCGCCCATGAAACCAAAAGATGATCTTTGCGACGTTTGTCAACAGAATTCCTTGATGTTACAACGAGTTTTGAAGGAATCGGATCCGAATACAAAAGAAGAGAAATTACGAATTGCAGTTGCTCATCTTGATCGTGCAAAACGTCAACACGAATTCTACCAACAGGTCGATGATGTGAAGAAAGATACAATTTCTACTCTTGTAATAAGTTTCGACTATGCGCAGAACGTACTTTATTTCGAAGATGTTGTCGTAAGATCTAGCCATAACAAATTTAATCAAGCTGTAAATGGAAGCAAAATAGAGTGGCGATCGTGGGATACTTATTTTGGAGAATTTTACAAAAGATTACCAGGTAAACTGTCGCAATTTTCTAATAATCATTTTTAATTTTTCAAATTCATTCCAATCAATTTTGTAAACGTTTGCATTTTAGGCATTACCAAGTACCACCACTTCGATTTCCGAAAAAATGAAATTGTATGTAAACTTGTGGACTCTGAAGAAGAAAAGTTCAATTTACGACTAACAGATAAGCTTCCAGATGGATTACCTTCACTCATTGTACCAAGTGGTTTATCATTGGATCGAAAATGGTATTTGTATGATAATATCCGGGATTTGTGTAGTAATCCAGAGATGCAAGATTTGGTAGTCCCTAAACCAGACACACCTAAAATGAAAGAACGGTTAGGTGAACCGAAGGCAACCAGTACACCAAAAAAGAGAAAGAAGAAAAGTGATGCGACAGCCCAGAAGAAGAAAAAAATTGAAGACGAAGCACCAAAAAAGAGGTTCCTAGGAAGGTTCCTAGGAAGGTTCCTAGACTTAGCTTTAACTCGTTCATTTGATAAATTGGAATATAACATTTACAGAAAACCTACGGTTATTCCTACAACTATCCCGTTTGATTCAACACATCCCATGTCTCAAAAGCTTTCAAATTTTAGATTTTTAATTAATCGTATTTTTAATTATCCTTTAACAGACAACGACAGAACAAAAGAAATCAACTATATATATTCTTTGGCTTTAAATAATAATTTTCCTACTAAAATAATTAACAACCTTTTTTATAAGATTCAACGTCAATATGATCCTTTATATGTTAAAATATCCACTAATACAATTTATAAACCTATAGCGTTTAACCATTTTTCTTTATTATACAAAAATATTTTTAATAAGTTTAACATTTCATTAGCTTTTTCAAATAACAATTCCATTCTTAAACTTTTATCCAATTATCATTACAAAGATTTTAATCATCTGAAGGAAAGTGGGGTTTACTCTATCAGTTGCTCTAATTGTAATGGTATTTACATTGGTCAAACAGGGAGAAGGTTAGAAACTCGTATTAATGAGCACAAATATAAAATGCAATCCAACGTTTACAAGCACAAAATTGAGACAGGACATAAAATTGATTATGATAGCACATCCTTGACTCACAAATGTCAGAAGGGTTTTAAGTTAGATCTTTTAGAGTTGCTGGAGATTTATAAACTAAATTTAAACAATAATTATATAATTTTAAATGACCAAATTCAAAATCTTTATAAACCTTTATTTACATACTTAAATCTAAAATAATGTTTCTATTTATAATTTTATTCTATTTTTGGGGCTCTTTTTATTTTCTATATTTCTGTTTCACTTTTTCTTTTTACCTTTCTCTCTTTTCTTTTCAATGTGATTTTCAAGTTTGTCCTCAATTTTACTCTCTTCACGTCTCGATAAATATCAACGTGTATTTTTGATTTTCTTTAGCAAGGTATGTCTTTATTATTTATTGATTATTTACCTATGTTTAATTATTTTTCATTTTATTTTCCTCTGTATCTGTTTTCGCTTGTTTTATAATTTTTGTTTTTTCTTCTCTTTTAGTTTTTCAAAAAAACGTGCCTTTTTTTACTTTCGCCATTTTGTTATACATTTTTATCACCGCTTTATAAAGCCTTCAGCCTTATACAAGCTTTTACATGCTCCCCCTGTTCTTTTGATGATCTTCGTTCTACAATTTTAGTTTGCCACTGACAGTGAGTAGTTTTATAGATTTTTTAACATGTTTTAATTTGTTAAAATATTTTTTTTTTTTTTTGCTAATGTTTGTCATATACATTTTTATATATTTTTATAATTATAATTTATGTTTTCTCCGTTTATATTTAGTTGTCACTGATGATGGGGCTAGCCCCGAAACCGGTCTGACTGCATATTAAATTAAATAAAGCAAGTTTAGAAGTTTTTTCGTTATATTCTTTATACAAACCACTTGCAACATGGATCTACATTCTAATTCGAATTTTTATGGAATGGTTGGAACCAGTGGTTTCCAAGAGTACGCAGTTGAAAATCTGCAGAATTTTTTAAATAACCAAAGTAACCGTTCTTAAGTATGTTTGAGAATTTAGTTTATGTTTTGTAATATTTTAACGAATATATTTTGTGTTAAATAAACGTGTTTTTCCTGAAACAGTTTTGTTTATTCCGATTTAAAAATTAAGTGCGTACTCTTAGAGCCTATCTATCTGTTAGGGAGTCTTTAAAATTACTTCGTATCGACTTTACATGGATTATATACAATAGAAAACATCCACGGCCAATAATACATAACTGAATTCATCATTAAATAATATTTTATATTTCTAAAATAAATTTATTATTATTATCATTTATAACATTCTCTTACATTCAATACGATAAGTCTTTAAATCCTCAAAATAATGGTTATATACTAATTGGTTATATTATTACAGTATATTGTCACCCTTCAATATTACTATACTAAGTACTTGGAAGCTATTACTTTACCCGACCAAAACCAACCGTTTCTGTAGTAATGAAATTTGGGGCAACAGCGGACCTTCTTCTAGATCATAAAATTCGAATATGCGGAATAATTCGACAGAATAGAGACCTTCCTGTTTCTTTGAAAAAAAATGAAACTGAAAAGTGGAGAAAACTGTTTTCGCAGAAAAGGTGATCGATAGAGATTGAAAAAAAAGATCGGTAGATTCATTTCTATAATTGATTCAGCTGAAATGCTAACGACAAACAAAATAGATCGGAAAACAGGAGCCGTAGTTGAAAAACCATCATGTATAATAGAATACAATAAGTACATGAAAGGTGTTGATCGAGCAGATCAGTAACATCATATTATTCTATACTACATAAAACCAAAAAATGGACGAAAAGGATCACAAGGTACTTGATAAATTGTGCCCTATTCAATTCATATAGAATAATCTTATAAACAAAAAAAAATAATGTACAAAACCTTTTTATAAGAAGTAGCAAGATATTGGCTGACAGATCTGGCTGACAGAAACTCATCGCTGATGATATACAAGAAGCTGGCCCTAGTAGTTTATCAACTCCACATACACCCCGAAATGATCCTCCTTTGAGACTTTCAGGAGATCTAAAAAAGAGAATACGTTTGATCCGTTTTGATACGACGTGAAAGTCAATACTATTGCCCTAATGCAGGTTTATGTTTAACGCCATGTTTTAAAATTTACCATACTAAATTAAATTTTTAATTTTTCTTTATTTATTCACGGGTTGGTTAAAAAAGAGAAGTTTTTGGTGATGGGTGCGGTTTAATTAAAGTAGAATGAAACAGCGTTCTTTAAAATAATTATGTAGAATTTGTTTTTGAACTTGTATTATTTCAACATTTTCACCCTATGCAACGAACAATTTCGACAAAAGTAACCTACAAAACGAATCACAAAAACAACAATTTGCACGTACATATGCGTTCTATAAAGAATAACTTTATTTCATAGCAAGAGATGTAAAAATGCTCTTTTGCTATTATTCCTGAGAGAACGCTTATGTACCTATCCATAGCACAGCCATAAATGGCTGATTTGTAAATGCACATTGCGAATGCAAAATTATTAAGATATCTCAGCAATATATTGTCAAAATAATAACCAAATTTATCTGCATTGCTGATCTGATGATATCTACAAGCCAACGTAAAACTTTAAAATGTTTGATTAATCCAGTAAACGAAGTTGTACTGAACGATGATCCATTAAACATTATAGAAAACATGTATTGTCAGCATATTTTAGCCATGCACTTATCCATCATTGTAACAATCGGCATCTTCAACACTGATTAGCTTTGGCGATTTTCAAAACTGCTTACTCAAACTCATCGTCGTATTTTATCGGTTCCGGCAGCAATTTGAGGACACTGTAAAGTAACAGAAATACATGATATTAATAATTCCACAACTAAATAACTAAAATATGAAAACTAACGAAATAACTAAAAACGGAATAGGGTAGGTTATAAGAATAAAGGGCGCCACGTATTTAATTCTAACCTGTTGTTCGTACAAAAAAGGAAAATTGTCGAACTAAAAAGCGAAATTCTATTAACAAAATCAACAATACAAGCTCAATGCGGAACTCTTACAATGAATGCAAAACGTGCAATTAATAGAGAAAATTACTGAAAATTATTATAAATGCGACAGACGTGCGCATCAATTCCAAAAATATTAACAATTTTATATTTTGTAATAATATTGAAAATACAATAAAGAATTAAATTTGAAAATAACTAATCATTCTTTTTCTATTGCGATAGGAACACCTATTCAATATCTAGTGTTACCATATGTAACAGGTGCAATCCCTGACGTCACATGAAAGTGATAACGAAAAGATATATAGACGCGAATATGCGTACTATTTGACGAAATTATTAATTGTAATCTTACTAAAAATAATGTTACTTGTAAAAACGAGTACCTACATTCATATTTCTATTTATTCATAGATAATTGATCACTTTACACCAAAATACTGCCCGTTTCACAAAATTAGCAGTGGCGTTGAAAATATTTTTGAAAAAGGGCTTTTTATTGCAGATAATGTTTAATTTTAAAGAAACTTTGACCCGCTATATCTCGTGAAGGAGGCATTTTTGACCCATGTATATTAAGACTTTTCATCTTAACTTTTGATGTATTACCTGCCCTAGAAGTCTGTCAGCGGTTTTTTGAATCACCTTTAAATAATAATAATCGAATAAACTACGACAATCTCTGAATAGTCCCGATAGTTCGGTTGCAAACCCCGACTGTCCCTTTCTTTCCCCCCCCTTTATGGCTAAATTTAAATTTCGTTCTACTTCCACTAAACTCCTATCCCAACTTTCGTTTTCTTGCAAGCTTCTTATCACCGGTATCAGAGTTCTGTTAACTCTCTCTACCTGTCCATTTCCTGCTGGATGACTAGTGGAATTGTACGTAACAGCTATCGCTCATTTTCAGCAAACCTCCGAAATTCCGCGGATGTGAACGATGTCCCTCTATCGCATACGATTCTTCTTGGATTTCCATACTCTTGAATTAATCTTTCCAGTGATCTTACCGTTGTTCTCATTTTGGTGTCTCGTACAGGGTATAACTTTACAAATTTCGTCAAAACGCCTATGACTACTAACAGATACATGTTACCTCTCCAACTATTTATAAACCAAATGGTCCCAAATGGTCTATGTGAATTCGGTCGAATGGTTTCTGTGGAGCAGGAATAGGATGTAGTTTTCCCGCTTTCGATCCTGTCGGTAACTTGTTTAGTAGACATTCTGGACACGCTCGTATATGCTTTCTCACATATTTTCTCATTCCAATAAACAATCCCGCATGATTGCATCAACAGTTCTTTTCAACACCGCTATTTTCTTCTTTAGGTCTGAGTCAGCATACTGGATGGTGGTTACATAATCTTCTTCATGATTTCCATAATTTCTCCTCTCTCCAAGTACGATTCTTCCAAGTACACTTTCGTCGTTTGGTGTCCTCGACAATGCGTCGATGTGACTTATTTTATCGAGCAAATGCGATCGAGCAGTCTTGATTTTCACGGATTCCGGCCACTTGTAAAGCACCGCACTGGTTTTTACGCTCGTCAACCAGTCTACCACTCGCGATAAATCTCGATCACCATCGAATGTATCTACCGTTTTCGTCAGATCCGGCATTATTTGAAATTGTGAAGACGGTTGGCGCTAAGCCATCATTTCACGTAACATGTCCGTCATTGTCGCCATCATTGCAACCATGGCTCCCTCGCTCGTTGAACGCTCACGTCCACCATCCGATAATTCGAACGCAAAACCGCCAACTCCCGCCGTCGTGCGTAGTTTATTCCCACCTTCGTCTTCACTCATAACGACTCACGATATGTTTTTACACCGACTTTTCATCGGTCACTCGTGTTTGTTGATAAACTTGCCCACAGTTTTCATCCTACAGCACATTTTATTTTGGAAAATCCCACTTCAGATGTGTAAAAAATAAATACTACACACAAGACTGAGAACTCTATTTAATTTATCCTCATGAAAAAGTATATATATGACAATAATCGAATAAACTACGACAATCTCTGAATAGTCTTTCTCTTAACCTTTCTTCGTAACACCCCGACTGTCCCTTTCTACCCCCTCTCAACGAACCACGACACAACCTCCCGCACTACCAACCCAACTTCTACGCGAACCGAAATTCCCCATCTTATAAATATGAGCGATGTTCAGTTCAATTTTATAGAGACTAACATCCTAAACTCTAACCATAAACAAAATTTACCATTCAATATAAATTTAGTTTGAAAATCCATGTTGCAAGTTTACAAATTTTGAAAATGGAAAATGAAACTTCTTACTTGCTTTTTTTATAATTTATTTTAACGGTACCAGTTTTGGGAAAAACTCAGTTTCCCATCAGCCGAAGCTATATACAGGCTGTCCCGAAACTCAACGTCAAGCGGGCACCGGGTGAGAGGCCAACCCATACCTGGTTTGGTAAAAATGAGAAAAAAATTCCATGTCTCTTAGTTAAGTGGTAATATATAATAAGTGGACATACTTTTGAAAATGTTAAAAATCGGTCCCGTTAAAAATCTTTAGGTACTACGGTCAGAAATGTTCGCAATTTAATAGTGATTTTTTTAATAATCTATTCCTTATGAACCATACTACTATAGAATTCACAAATCAAACAACAAAAGTCGTTAGTTTTGTAAAAAAATATATTACTTTGATTGAGTTAAGGTTGAAAGAATTTATGTCTATCAAGTTTGACACGCGATTTCTAAAAAAAGGAGTAGTACACAAATACAAATAACATACAAAAGTATGAATTTTTTAAATAACGTGTTAAATAATATTTTTTATGACACGAAAAATGGCAAGTGTTATAGCATTTTGGAAACTTGACTAAACAGGCCATCTTTTAAAATTACTTGCCAAGGGTGTTGTACCACTCCTTTTTTTAGAAATCGTGTGTCAAACTTGATATAATATATTTTTCTGCAAAACTAACGATTTTTGTTGTTTGATTTGTGACTTCTACAGTGGCATGGTTCATAAGGAATACATTATTACAAAAATCACTATTAAATTGCGAACATTTCTGACCGTAGTACCTAAAGATATAATGTACGGGACCGATTTTTAACGTTTTCAAAAATATGTCTATTACCACTTAACTAATAGACATGGAATTTTTTTCTTATTTTTACCAAAACAGGTATGGGTTGGCCTCTCACCTGGTGCCCGCTTGACGTTTAGTTTCAGGACAGCCTGTATATAGCTTCAGCTGATGATGGGAAACTGAGTTTTTCCCGAAACAGGTACCGTTAAAATAAATTATAAAAAAAGCAAGTAAGAAGTTTCATTTTCCATTTTCAAAATTCAATATAAGACCCACAGACATAGCTATAAAAATGGAAGCCCAATTATTGTTCAACCCACATAATAAACGAATTTTTGAAGACAACTTTAATATTATAAAGAAGATAAATTCATTTTACAAAACCCCTCCTCTCTTGGATAATATACAGATAAAGCGTTTGAAAGATAAAATTAAACAACAAAACTTCACAATCACGTTAGGTGATAAAAATTCTTTTCAATAAATTAATAAATCTCCCATTAAATACTAATGATTACATAATAGAACTAAAGAAAATTCTAAAAACGGGCTTTAACGTTTGACTTTAACGACGGTTTTAAGTTAAGATATTTATGCAGTTTTTTACGACAAAGTTTTTTAAAAAATAATAAGAGTGAAAAAAGTGTTAGAATTAAATTCCACATGAAATGAGGAAATAATGTATTAAATCTGCCAAAAGGTTAAAAAAATCTGTCAAAATTTAAAGGACCATCACCCTTAATCAATCCTTTGAAATGCCTCAATTGATCTCAACTTGCTACTAATTAATACCCTTGGTACACTCATAACATATAAGTACCCGGTAAATGACTCCGGTATACTTAACTTCCTCGATTTACAAATTCAAAGAGACATTAATTGCAACAAACTTTTGTTCAACATTTTCACTAAACCTACCAACACTGATATTATGATCCCAAAAGATTCTTTTAACTGTAGACAACACAAATATGCTGGATTTAGATTTTTATTCAACCGTTTATACAACATTCCACTCAGTGACGAAAATCTGATTAATGAAGTGAGAAGAATTACCAAGATAGGTTTGAACAATAAGTATACTATTAAAGATTTACAATACATTTTCAATAAAGTTCATAACATGCAATTATATAGAATAATCTACCCACACTTCAAAAATAAANAATTTTTGAAGACAACTTTAATATTATAAAGAAGATAAATTCATTTTACAAAATCCCTCCTCTCTTGGATAATATACAGATAAAGCGTTTGAAAGATAAAATTAAACAACAAAACTTCACAATCACGTTGTGTGATAAAAATTTAAAGGACTATCACCCTCATCAACCTTTTGAAATGCCTCAATTGATCTCAACTTGCTACTAATTAATACCCTTGGTACACTCATAACATATAAGTACCAAATTTGATTTTTCTAGCTTAATATATTACTAAGATATTGAATGTTTTAAAAATTTAAGACCCAGCTTTAAAAGCCTATAACTCCTTAAGGGTACAACTTAGTATAGAGGTAAGTCACATAAATGATCTTAATTTATTATCTTCTCTGTGTCTTATCTATTACATATCCCTGCTCTGTGTCGGTTCTTATGTGAAATACCTGTATAATATTACTTGTTTGTCTTAGTATTTAATTGTGTGGTTTACCAGTTTAAATAAAAAATATTTTTATTTTCATTTTTCTTTTGATTTAAATTATTAATATAAAAAATTACTTGATTTAAATCATTGATTTAAATCATTGATTAAAATCATGTTTTAAATACTGATTCTACATTTTCCACAAAACAAGATTAATACAAGATAATTTAGGAACAAAGTTTTTCACAAAATAATTATTACCTGTTGAACTATAACAAATATTACCTGTCTTCAAAAATTGAAGTGACTCCATAGTTTGTATTCTTTAATTATCATTAAAGAATTAATTCCGTGAGGGTGTTAGTTCCCAATTAACCAACCAAGAAATGATACTAATCTCTAGCATATATCCTTCAACATGTTTCATTTGCACCTAAAATATAGAAAAGAATTATATACATTTAACAATACCATAAAAATATACATATAATAAATTAATTGTAATATTGTGGCCAATGAGACAACAAAGTCTATTTTTTAATTTTTTTGCATTTGGATTTTAATCAGGTATTTTAGGTTCTTACTTTATCCATACCATGACACTATTACCATCTTCCACATCACCTTTGGAATACCGAATTGTAATAAATCTTCAATTTTCTGTATGTTGATAGATAATATTCAATGTAAAGATTACAAGAAAGCTCCATTGAGACATTTTTGTAAAGTTTATAGTGAAAAAGCAGGTAACACTTTTTTTGTCAGAAAAGCTTCTTCCAAATGACATTATCTTCGTTCGGAAACAAAACAGCATTAACCGCATTAACACCGCTGACACGATTAAATCATTAAATGACAATAAATAAGAATAACAATAGAACATCACTAAAGGGATGCGTCACTAAAACTAAAATTTCTGGTAACTGGTAACAAGTATAGTTGGGTATCTTATTCACAGATGGCATGACTCAATTTATCAAGAATTTTAGATTTGTACCGGTAGAGGTTAGTTTTTACCCAAGTTTCATGGAAAATTATTATGGAAAAGTGAATACATAGAATTAAAGTACACACATTTTTCTACACATTGAAGTATTTAGCGTAGTAATTGCTGTATTTGTAAAAATAAAAAAATAATAAAGTTTGTCATAAAATAGCACTTGATTTAAAACGACTTTTACGAGAAATTAAACACTAAATTGAGACGCCAACGCGCCAAGAATACTCGTAGAATGTAGGAAAAGATTACGTGTAACTAGACGTAAAATTAAATTTTTATAATGTTATCTCGAACATTAGGAATTCGTAAAGAAATCTGTATAAATAGTAAAACAAAGCTTCCATCCGCCTCATAGATGGCGTTAATTATTAAATTTTTTTTTTAATACAGTTTACTAAGTGATTTTCGAATATTACGACTGTATTTGGACTGTATTAATTGTATGGATGTTTAAAAAACAATATTAATCCAAAATAAAAAGCGAAACATAGTAACATAAATAAACTTTATTATCCAACAGCGGATAGATTTAATTAGTGTTATAGAAAATAGAAGTAGAATATAAAAAATTAAATAACATTAAACAATGGGTGTTAATTAAATGTTTTTTTTTAATATTCGGTCAGTAAGGAAAATCAGCTAACATGTTACTTTGACAGCATAAATATACCAGAGTGAAGGTTTTTGAAATTAAATGTATCTTTTAGAATAAAAGTTAAGGTAACTTTTATTAGAAGTAAGAACAAATAAAGCTAAGAACAATGGGAAGGTTCGATCAAAACTTCTTACCAACCAAATTAAATTAAACCAACCAAAGTTGATAAATAAATAGTATAAAAGAACGCAAATTTACAAATCATTAATTCACTTTACTCTAAGACTCTGTAAGATTTTTCTTAGAATGAGGTAGGGGTAGGCAGGTAAATGGTAAACAAAGACGTTTTAGTCGTTGTACGTCGAACACCAAAGAAACAAGCGTATTTCACCCGAAAATATACGTTGTAACATCGACAAGTTGTTAATTCTTTCATCAATTTTGAGAATATTGTAGAATTTTAGTTTTACTCATCGGATTGGTTGGTGTTATGTGTATGACGTCACATTGAAGCTTTTAATTAAATTTTTCGTAAGTTTTTCACTTATCCGCACTTTTTTAACGTTATTCTTCAGTCAGAAGTTATTCGATCAGTAAAAACTCATTTTAAAGAGGGTTTACAAAGATTTTAATTCAAGTACAAGCCGTTCTTAATTTTATTTAGTTTCTGACTAGTAGGGTCTACTAATTACGATGTTTTAACTCCAGGTCATTTTCTAATGGTAACTTTTACGAAGAATGGTTGAAGGTTTCTGGAAAAATTCGCAGAAATTTTAAACATATGCACATATAGAAACACTTCGAGCTNGACATATCTTCTCTCTTCGTTTACTATTCTTAGTCGTGCCCGATGAAGACAACTCATTGTCGAAACATGTAGCACCGAACTAATTTAATAAAAAAATTTTCATCGTCATTCAAGAATTTTATTTATCTTTCTACGATGAATTTGGAGTCAATCCTAGCCAAAATATAAGTACCAAATTTGATTTTTCTAGCTTAATATATTACTAAGATATTGAATGTTTTAAAAATTTAAGACCCAGCTTTGAAAGCCTATAACTCCTTAAGGGTACAACTTAGTATAGAGGTAAGTCGCATAAATCATCTTAATTTATTATCTTCTCTGTGTCTTATCTATTACATATCCCTGCTCTGTGTCGGTTCTTATGTGAAATACCTGTATAATATTACTTTTGTTTGTCTTAGTATTTAATTGTGTGGTTTACCAGTTTAAATAAAAAATATTTTTATTTTCATTTTTCTTTTCATTTAAATTATTAATATAAAAAATTACTTGATTTAAATCATTGATTAAAATCATGTTTTAAATACTGATTCTACATTTTCCACAAAACAAGATTAATACAAGATAATTTAGGAACAAAGTTTTTCACAAAATAATTATTACCTATTGAACTATAACAANCTTAATTTTATTTAGTTTCTGACTAGTAGGGTCTACTAATTACGATGTTTTAACTCCAGGTCATTTTCTAATGGTAACTTTTACGAAGAATGGTTGAAGGTTTCTGGAAAAATTCGCAGAAATTTTAAACATATGCACATATAGAAACACTTCGAGCTTGTTTCTGAAGAAGGTTGCAACACGACAAACATTTTTTCAAAAGAGCACGGCCTAACCCGAAAGTTGATAGTGTTGAAGTTGAAGTAACCCGATAGTGCTACTATTAGTTCTAGTTTTAGTTTAATTAGCTAAAAATTCTATTAACTTAAAAATATTGTAAATTGCGATAATACTTTATTCAGATAATAATTTTTGGTTCTGAAAAGAACCGGTCGTTGTTTGGTAGGGATGTTTATATTGCCATTTATTTGGAACTTGTGTACTTGGTAACAGCCTTGGTGCCTTCGCTTACAGCGTGCTTTGCCAATTCTCCAGGTAACAGAAGTCTGACGGCAGTCTGGATTTCTCGACTGGTGATCGTTGATCTTTTGTTGTAATGAGCCAAACGGGATGCTTCAGCGGCTATCCTCTCGAAGATATCGTTCACAAAACTGTTCATTATACTCATAGCTTTGCTCGAAATACCGGTATCGGGATGAACTTGTTTCAATACCTTGTAAATGTAAATAGCGTAGCTTTCCTTTCTCTTGCGTTTCTTCTTCTTATCGGTTTTCGATATATTTTTCTGCGCTTTACCCGCCTTTTTGGCTGCTTTCCCACTAGTTTTCGGTGGCATTGTTGTTGTTCGTTGATTAGTTAATAAAATTTATCGGTGATAAGACTATCGACAGTAACGACAGTACACTACAGTAAGTATGCAGTGTTATAAAAACGGTGAACGGTGAACGGTGAACTTGACGGGCCTCTTGAGGTTCCTGGAATCTTCCTTAACCCTCTTCATCGGATCTAAAACAGACGGAAAATATATTAGTTAATATTCGCTAAATTAGCGATATCGGAAGTGGATTTGGAAAGGACAGTCGGGTTCCCGGATCGTCAGACGAGAAGCAGCCTTGGCCGTTTATGGCGAAGGTGTTCAACGTCGTAATCCGTTAATCCCGCTAGGAGGGGATTTGGGTGGTCTTCGAGCCGCGTAAACTCGGTACTGGCTTTGTTCCGAATGAATTCCTCGATGGTCACCATCTGGGAATCATTGTGCAGTGTCGCATTACTGACAAACCAAGGAGCATCGAATGCCATCCTTAGGACCTTGTTCTGAACCACTTGGAGTTTTTGCACGTGCGAGTGCGCGGCGTAACCCCAGACTGAAGAAGCGTATGTCATCGCAGGTCTGATAACCGCTTTGTAGAGTCGAATCTTCCGGAGAGGATCCAACTTACTTCGGCGATTTATCAGAGCGTACAGATTGACCAGAGCTACCTTCGCCCGGTTCGCCATGGCCTCGATGTGACTTTTCCAAGTTAGTTTAGAGTCCAGAATGACACCCAAATACCTGGTTTCGGAATGCCAGGGAAGCTCGTTCCCTCGCAGTACCAACGCATCGGGGGGTCTCTGTCTACGCCGAGTAAAGAGTACTGCGGTACTTTTATCAGCGTTGATTTTGACCCGCCACTTTGCGAAGTAGTCTTGCAGCTGATCCGATGCTGTCTGCAGTCTACGAGCGGCGATCTCGGGGGACCAAGATCTGCTGTAGATGCATACATCGTCGGCGTACATCGCTAACTGAGTGCCCTCGCACCGGGGTAGGTCGCTAACAAAGATACAAAAGAGTATCGGTGAAAGCAACGACCCCTGAGGGACGCCAGCAGTTAGGATTCGCTCTGTCGAACGCGTACCGTTCAATTTGATGCGCGCCTTCCTACCGCCAAGATAGGACGCGATCAATTGAACCAACGCCAGGGGCACGCCCGCTTCTAGCATTTTGAACAAAAGTCCTTCATGCCATACTTTGTCGAACGCCTTGGCAACATCGAAAAGCGCCGCACAAGTGCTTTGCTTTCGATTGAAGCCTTCGGTTATGTATTCGACAAGTCGCAGTACCTGGTGTACGGTCGAATGTTTGGGTCGGAAACCAAACTGTTCATCCTGAATGAGGTTAGGATCTTGAACGGATCTTTGTAGCCTCGTCTGGACGACCCTCTCACATACCTTGCCGAGACAAGAAAGCAAACTGATGGGCTCTTGAGGGTTGTCGGGGGTTGTTGAGGGGATGGTTACCGTCCCTTCGAACACTGGGAAGACCGCGCCGAATGGTCGGACGCACCCCATTGGTTGGAATTCATCAAGCTGGGATAAACAGGAAGGCCGTTCGACTCAGAGGATATTATATTACAAATATCGTTACTACTAATCTTGTGAAAAAATATTCTAAATAAAAAACCCTGTTAAGTGTTGTTGAGAGTTTGACTCCATCACGTGTTTCCTGTCCCTCCCATCTCCGGTAACGAACATCTCTTCAAAAGACGCACGGCTTTACCCGAAAGGTTCTAGTTCTAGTTTAATTAACACCGGCCGTGAAAGTCTTCGTACTTATATTATCAACCTTTATGAGGAGGATATTATCAAACAAATTAACGATCTCGACAACTTATGTACAACTTATATACAACTTACAAGGATCGCACTTACGTATATTACCTACTATTAACTTAAAAATATTGTAAATTGCGATAATATTCTTTATTCAGATACTAATTTTTGGTTCTGAAAAGAACCGGTCGTTGTTTGGTAGGGAGGGGGATGTTTATATCGCCATTTATTTGGAACTTGTGTACTTAGTAACAGCCTTGGTGCCTTCGCTTACAGCGTGCTTTGCCAATTCTCCAGGTAACAGAAGTCTGACGGCAGTCTGGATTTCTCGACTGGTGATCGTTGATCTTTTGTTGTAATGAGCCAAACGGGATGCTTCAGCGGCTATCCTCTCGAAGATATCGTTCACAAAACTGTTCATTATACTCATAGCTTTGCTCGAAATACCGGTATCGGGATGAACTTGTTTCAATACCTTGTAAATGTAAATAGCGTAGCTTTCCTTTCTCTTGCGTTTCTTCTTCTTATCGGTTTTCGATATATTTTTCTGCGCTTTACCCGCCTTTTTGGCTGCTTTCCCACTAGTTTTCGGTGGCATTGTTGTTGTTCGTTGATTAGTTAATAAAATTTATCGGTGATAAGACTATCGACAGTAACGACAGTACACTACAGGAAGTATGCAGTGTTATAAAAATGGCCTGTTTTTGCCGTTTATAAAGTGGTAGCGTCGTATCAGTAGGTGACGCCTCCCGTTGCTACCGCTTGGCTGACGGCCGCTATTGGTCGAACCGTCGGCGCAGTTGGGTATATATATTTGAAAAACCTGTATTCCGCTCAGCTCTGTATTGAAACGTTGTCGACAACGATATCGTTTACGTTGAAACATTTTGTTGAACATTTCGGCACGCTACCAAGTCAACTAATTGTAAGCCATGTCGGGTCGAGGAAAAGGTGGAAAAGTTAAAGGGAAAGCAAAGTCCAGATCCAGTCGTGCAGGATTACAATTTCCTGTTGGTCGTATTCATCGATTGTTGAGGAAGGGCAATTACGCGGAACGCGTAGGAGCTGGAGCTCCTGTATATTTAGCGGCCGTAATGGAGTATTTGGCAGCCGAAGTTCTCGAGTTGGCCGGTAACGCTGCGAGAGACAACAAAAAGACCCGTATCATCCCTAGACATTTACAACTGGCCATACGTAACGACGAAGAATTGAATAAATTACTATCGGGAGTGACAATTGCTCAAGGAGGTGTACTTCCGAACATTCAAGCTGTTTTGTTACCTAAGAAGACCGAGAAAAAAGCTTAATTTAATTACAACTTGGCCACACCATCATATTAACAAAACGGCCCTTCTCAGGGCCACAAAAAATATAGTCGAATAACGAACTATCGATGTCTCTGCGGTTGTGTAAATGTATCAAGTTTTTGAATGTTATTTATGTATGTTATTTTCTTTTTTATACATAATATATTCTTTCAAGTAGCATTGTATATGTATGTACATTTTAAACATGGCGTGTTTCCGCCAAGCAGTACCTAACGAAAGAAACAGGTGCTAATTCGATAATTAAAACAAAAGAAAAGAATTGATACAACAAAAAAAAGTGTTTATTTTACTTACAAGAATCAAATTTTTTTCAAGTATCGTCGTGTCGCTTAAAAATCAACGAAAAGTGATAAACTTACCGAAAAATGACATTCGATTTTTAAAGTTTCGATGTGACGTAACAACGCTAACTATGTACATACATATGTATTTTCACAGCACCACAGTTAACACTAGTCCTATTAATTGTTTTTTCCACATCCACACACAACACCAATAAGTAAAAATGAAACTTGTTGATACTATAACGTGTTGTGGTACCACCCGTTTACGTAGTGCTGCTCACGTAGTATTTATCTTTATAATAATAGGAATATAATAAGTTTACAATATAATAATGTAGGTATCAAAAGTAATGATTCTGTAACTAAAAACCAAACAACCACCAGAGACATGTGTGAATAATAAATATATCAGGGGACGGAACCAGATGGAAACATACTTAGTTATATGATATTTTGCGTGGGAAGCACTGCTGTAAAAACAGAGTTCACTAGGAACAGGGGGGTCAAGCCGAAAAGGCACTTCACTAAGAGCAGTCGAAAAGTCAAGTCAGTCACATTAAGTTAGTCGCCTCTATTAGATCGAGTTGATCAGTTAGTTTTAGAACAAATTGTCACCGGTCGTCATCGTCGTCTCTTAAATAAAATTTAACTAAAATTAAGAACAGAAGAAAGTTGTTTAATTTAATAAATTGCCCTTCACAACGAAGAAATAAATATATTCGTAAATATCGACGTTACATCGTAAGAATATACAACATCGGTGGCGGCGGTACACAACAAACGCATATTTTCGGGTGAAATACCCTTGTTCCTTTGGTTGTCGACGTGTAATAACTAAAACGTCTTTATTTACCATCTACCTGCTTGCTCGTTTGGATCTGAATGATAAAGTTTTTTTTTCGACGGACCCTCGAACCCGACATTTTCAGGTAGATGGGGTAAACAACGACATTCTAGAAGTTGTGCGTCGAAAACCTAAGAAACAAGGGTATTTCACCCGAACATATGCGTTGTAACAAAAACAAATTATTACTTCTTTCATAAATTTTATCGGATTAATGTTATATCGGTATATGTATGGGCTATGAAAATAGAAAAGGATAGTACTGATATTACCGGTGGTGCTGCGAAAATGTATAATATGGTTGATGACGTCACATCGAAACTTTAAAGTGATTTTTCAGTAAGTTTTACACTTTTCCTTATTTTTTTTTTATTTGTAACGGCTTATTTGGGTGATTTCCCATCGACGAATCTTGAATTATGCAAATTTGAACCGTTCCTGTACGCGTACACGACTAATTCAGGACTTTCTTTGAACGGAACTCTGCCGAGAATTGGCGCTGTAAGCACAATTTATCATTGCAAATGAAATCCATTTACTTATTTTTTTAGTAATAATGAACTAAAAAACGTAATAGTAGAAAAATTAAATAAAGATATGTATGTTCTTACATGTTTATTGATTAATTTGTCTATAAAACTTATCATAAAACATATGTACATATAAAATAAAAGTTCTTAAAAATTTGTTGATGTAAAAACACGAAACATGTAGAAGAATAATTCAAATCTACGCTTTGATAGTGAATATAACCATACTATACTAATAATAATAATATAACATATACTAACAGACAGGCTGCACAATTGGAAATGAATTATGCGCAAGCGCTAATGGGTCTAATATAGATACAGTGTGTTAATTAATTATCGTATTTGTATTGTAATATGCAAATCGCGTATTGCAATATCAATACTGTGATATTGGTTACATTAGTTGCATCTTGCAATGATGACGTGTTCGATAATTAACATACTCTACATATGTACATAATTGTCGGGATTGTATGCGAAAATATTCCTTAACTTTCATAAATATAGTGGTTCTGAAAAGAACCGGGTGATCGTGTTGTATATAAAACAGTCGTCGTCAAAATTAAAATAGGTACATAATTTAAATTTCTTAACCCCCAAAGCCGTAGAGAGTGCGACCTTGACGCTTAAGGGCGTAAACGACGTCCATAGCAGTGACGGTTTTCCTTTTTGCGTGTTCAGTGTATGTGACAGCGTCGCGAATAACGTTCTCCAGGAAAACCTTTAAAACTCCTCGAGTTTCTTCGTAAATTAATCCTGAGATACGCTTTACACCGCCACGACGGGCAAGACGTCTGATGGCTGGTTTGGTGATGCCCTGGATGTTGTCACGGAGTACTTTGCGATGACGTTTGGCGCCTCCTTTCCCAAGACCTTTTCCTCCCTTTCCACGACCAGTCATTTTTCTTTGATAATTCGATTTTCTTTTTATGTAAGTACAACGACAAACT